AACTAAAGAATGATCTATTGAATAATGGAATAGTCAGGCTAGTTTTCAGTTAAAACAAATTTATTTGAGTTAGGATGATCCATACGCTTGTTGTCAAAAACAGAAGAAGAAGAAGAAGAAGAAGAATAACCCGCCTTTCGGCTACCCTGCGATATAGGGTGTTGTCTGAGAACAGTTTCGAGAGCCTGTTATTTTTTCTGCATCTATTACTACATGTATCTCTGAACAGAAGGCCGACCTGACTCAGAGTTCTCTCGTTTAATCACTTGAGCTCCACGTACATACTGACGAACTATATACTAGCCAGAAGGGCTTTAGTGTATGTCAACCGCATAGTCAGTTTGTTATCGGATGGATGATTCGAGACAAAGCAGCTGTCTGTGACTTGCTCAAGGTCATTTTATGATTGATGAAGCAAAGGTTCAAACACAGTGCCTTGTGGGTATGTGTCAAACTTAAAAAATAGAATAAAACAGATCCCGAAATGAAGTACTATTTTTTCCAATTCACTGTCTCAATTTAACATTGTCTGAATTCAGAATACTATGTTTTTTCATCAAAGTTCATAAAGTATCGAGCCATTAGCAAAGATTTCTGATTTGTATAGAAACCATGCAATCACGTAGAGACTATATAACAATAGAAATTTTCAAGCGTTTGTGCTTGATAGATTAATCAAGAAATATTAGAGGATGCAATTTTATATGCGTACTTTGCTAAAAGTTTATTTCGTCGCGTTTATTTAGGGATGATACGACGAATACTGGTTTTATCGATGCTTATTATTTTTATGGTTGGCTCTACTATGCAAATGGAGCAACCAGATTTTGAGAATTTGAGCCAACTAAAAACAGATGTGGCATTACTAAAAGCAGAACTTGTTCAAGTGAAAGCCAAGGCTGTAATTGGTTGTCGCGTTTGCTTTCAAGAAACCGAAGGTTCAAGTCAATGTCAAGGAACTCGAAATAGTTGTTCCAGTTGGAGTATGTATGCCGATTGGACACAACCATTTCGTGATGATACTGATGGGCGAGATGGTGGCTGTCACTACCAATGGAAAGTGGAATGTCTCAGCGGAATTTAAAAGCTTTAATTTGAAAAAAATATCGTACAATTTTTTACAGCGAATAACAGAAAACTGAACATATAATAATGCAATTTTTTCTTTCATCGACTTCATTGCAATATTTTTTGTTCGGGCAATAAATTTAAACACTAATTTCATTTTACATGTATTAGCATTTTCGAATATTCAAGTACACTGTGAGCAAATGCGCTTACTAAATCTACAGCTAAGATACTTTAATAAGTATATTAAAGTTCTCAGAGCATGTTCATATTGATGAAGGTATTTTCTTCACTTTGATTAGACTCACTTAATTCAACTGCTTAATTCATTGTAATCTGAATGGTATGACATTGAGGAAGTGAGCACACATATCTTTCTAAAAACGTATTGTTGACATAGAAGCGCATCGTATAGATTTATCGTCAGGTTATTCAGCATTGAAAAGGCGGCAATGCACTTAACAATGCTTAAAAACTTATTGACTTCAGCTAAATCTCCAAAAGAACACTATTAGAACCTGAAATTTAGTATTCAGCAGTTTCAGCGATTGATTTTTCGAATGTATATAAAAGATCGTGCAGCTAAAATTTAATGAGCGTTTTTTTCATGGCATCATTCTCAATGCTCTTCGGGGTGCTTCGTAATAATATCCATTCTTCTGTAGTATTTCATATCTTCAAAAATCGATGCACACGTATAATTTATGTTAATAAAATAAACCACCATACTTATTTCCGCTACAATGATTTTTGTATAAATCATCACGCAGCTGAGAGCAAGGAAGGCATTACTATTCTGTGCGACAGTTTATTATTCAAGAGGCTTGCTTTCGAACAATTATTTCTAAAAGCACATATCGAAGCTTTGCTTAAACGCTGCGCTCATCGTTTATTCTGCGACTGGCCCCGTATCATTAATGTTCATGCTGATTTCTCAAATTCGTATGGTGACTATGAGAAGTCCGGGTGTGTGTGAACAGAAGACCAGCATCCACATGGATTCACACGCCGATACTGACACCAGAGAAGCCCACTGTGGCTGTAAATTCATCGCTGTCAAGCAGCATACGCTTCAAAAAACTGGTGCTGGGCATTGGTTATGAATCTTTTGGGTGTGGGCGTGGATGTGGCATGATGTTCTGGGTTTGGGCCAGGGGTCAGGTGTGAATGTTGATAAATAGAACAGAAACACCGACACCCTATGGCTAAAGAGAAGATAAACACTCACACCCACACCCTATTTTATAATCGAAAAAACATTCATGGTTACAATTAGGACAAAGCTTTTATTTTCTTTATTTTGTTATCTTGTAGAATGTTCGTAATGATTGAAACTTTTCTTACACATGCAACAGATTATTGCATGATATTTTCAACGAGAAAATAAAAGGGAAATACTAAGACAACAACCAGTATTCCAAAATATAAGATAAATTGAGTATGTGTAAGAAGCAGCTTGTTCTTGAATGCTAGACAATGTTGTGGCCCATGATGCTTGTAAGGCAGATATTTCAGTGAAATTTAATCTTGTTAGTTAGTATCGTAGACTCGAGTGTCATAAATCTGTGAAAAAAATAAAAGAAT